CTACTTGTTAGACATTTCTTTCCATTTTATCGAGCATGTTTTAGTTTAGACTTACTTTCTATTGCATATTGTTCTATCCTGATGAATACTTGTAGATGTTTGTGATAGATAGAATTTTTGAACTATTTTTCTTCCTGCTTATATTTTCTATACTGAATGATATACATGTTAAAAATCAAGTTTGATGGTAGGAAGAAAAATAAATTTTAAAGTTAGTATACTTCCTTTTAGTTTAATGTTATTGCAAGCATGTTTTAGGCTAGATTTACTTTCTTCTGCAATCATTCTATCTTGATTATGCATGTATATGAATTTGATAGGATGTTGTAGTAGTTAGTAAAAATCACTTTTACTTTTTCTTCCTACTACATTTTATGGAATTAAATGTAAAATATTTAAAAATGCAAGTTTGTGAGAAAAGAAAATTTTCTTTTAAAAAAAAGTAAACTAAATTTTATTTGTCCTCAATTAATTATATTTTTAAAATTAATTTAACATGACCTTGGATATTAGAGTTTAACTTTAAATTAATATATTTATGTTTGTAAATATTATGGTAAATTTAGGTAAAAGTTTTTAATAACGAATGTCAATTCTAAAGTTAAAGATATTTGGTATAAAATGATAAGACTATGATTTTTTATTTAAAGTAAAGGAATTTGTATTTTTGAAGTATTAAGAATTTTAGAGTTTCATGTAAGAAGAAAAGAATGAAATATGAATTTATAAAGTGAAGAAAGGTAAGGAGTTTTTACTTTAAGAAGAGAATAGTGAAGTTCCAAATTATTAAAGGTTATCCAGATATAATAATCCTCACTTAGAAAAGAAAAAGAAAAGAAAGTATTGAAAAGATCCTCACAGAAAAAAAAAAAAAAGAAGAAGAAAAGAAAAAAAATGAAGGAAAAGAAAAGAAAATTGAGTGAGGAGAAGCTTGAGGAGTTGTTTAATCAAAAATTGGCTTCACATGAATCAACTTAAAAAATGGTTTTATTACATTTTCTAAACATGTATTGAAGTATTAATAACATTACTATTAAAGTTTTCATGAAGTTATTTTTCATATGAATCATATGAATGTTCTAAGATGTTCTAAGTATCCTTGATATGACAAAATGCAATTCTTCTTGAAATGAATAGAGATTCAGAAATCTTAAATTTGATTACTAAGTACTCTTAGACTTAGGTTTGAATCTAAATTATTAATGATTTTTCTTAAATTTTACAGTTTTTTTATTAAACTAAAATTAAGAAGTTATAATTTAATCTATATGCTAAGTCGTATTTTCATGTAATAAAAGGGTTACTTGATGACAAGTAGCGTTTAAGTTTGGGGGAGTTGACACGCCTAAAAATTACCTACTTTTTTTATATATTTTTATGCTCAATTTTAATTATTTTTAATGATATTACACTTTAAAGGAAGGTATTTTGCATATTTTTTGTTTCAGGTACAAGAAATTGAATTTTGGAGAAAATGAAGCAAAAATGATGCAATTTGGAGTTAAAACGAGCAAGAAAGAAAATTCTGGCTTAGCACATTACGATGTGTCTTTATATGATTAATCTAATTTACATTTCTCAAATTTACATTTCATTAATCTAATTTACATTTCTCACATGTTTTTTAATGAAATTATACTTTAAAGAAAGGTTGTTTTCATGCTTATTTTGTAGGTATATCTGTTAGGAGCAAAATGTAACTGAAACGGGGCGAAACAGAACTAAAATAGAGCCAAACAGAGCAAAATAATGGATTTGTTGCAGGGTGGCGCATGATGCGCCAAACCAGCGCATGATACGCCAAAATATAGAGAACTAGTGCATGGTACATTGATTTAGATCCAGATGTTTGGGAGACGACTTTTTGTGGATTAAGACTGTCGGGACGAGTTTTTTGCACGAATTTTCAAAGGTAACTTTGTTCTAAACACCCCTTGGAGTGATTCAATGCATCTAGACACTTTGGAATGTTTTTTTATGAACGGATATGTCTCTTGGATCAATACATGTATTTTGAATTCAAAAGAGTTGACTTTTGGATAAAATTTTGGAGGGAATTTTGAATTCTTTTTGGAGGGAGGCAGCCTTTTATAAAAGAAAGGGAAGTCTAGGGCTTGAAGAAGAGTTGTGTGGGCTTGGATTTTGTGTGTGTGTGTGTGTGTGTGTGTGTGGCGTGAAAGTGAGAGTAAGTGCTTGGAGATTTTCTTCAAGGATTGTAAGAGGAGAGAGAAGGTGGCAAATTTCTTCTTTATTACATTTCTAGGAGTAATTGACAGTACTTGCAAAGAGGGAAAGTGCTTGAAGAGAACTTCTAGAGATTTGCTTGGGAAGGATTATGAGATAATTTTTGTTTTATGTTCTTCTCTTTTTTTCTTTTGTAAACTTGTTTTCATATATGAAATTCGTGTTTTATCGTATCATTCTCATTAACTCTGAGTAGTCTTCTTTATCCTTCTCCCTACTTTGAGATATGATTTTGTGAAGAATTGATTTTGTTTTATACAGTTTTAAATGTCAATAATTTATGATGGTTCGAACTCCGATCTTCATTTATATTTTAATTTGATCAATTAAAATGTTAAAATATGTTGAGAAACATACGTTCCGAAAGGGCTATGATTTCTACAACATGAGGATAATCACATTTGATTTCATAAGAGAGTATGTCATCCATGGAATTGAGTGCAAATAAATAGGGAAATATACTTTATTGGATGCAGATTTTAAGGTGACTTATTAAAATCCTGAATTTGGTCAGTTGATTGGAACCTGATGCGAGATTGTTAGCCCTCAGGTGAGGGAGTAGTGGGAGCTCTAGAGTGGCAACCGGTATCCTCCTAGCCTAACCACGGAATTAGGGACCAAACTCTGGATTAATCAATGTTCTTTATAGCACTCAGAAGAGGGTAAAGAATATGATTGTTTCTATTTGGCACAAAATAAATTTAATATATTTTTAAATGATTTTAATTTCTTAACAATCCATATACTCATTGTAAAGGGGAGAGAGACTTTCTTGAATTTGAACTCTTCGTCACAAAACTTTGTTTAGTCTTAGTAAATTTAATTTTAAAGTTTAGTAAATAGTTTAGTAAACTTAGTTCTTTTAGTTACATTTTCATTATCATTCATTAAACCCATTTTAATTTGTCTTTCTTACTTTTTTATAGTTTAAATAGTGTGATTTATGTAATTATCATAAGAATTTCCATCTTCCAAATTAAGGCTTCATAGTCGTAGACTCGAATTAGCCTAAAGGATTTCTTACTGTGTGTGTTTTTTCTTCCTCGTGGGATCGATACTGGGGTTTTTAAAGAAAGCCTTATATTACTTGAAACAATACGTGCACTTTCGTAGAACCACTAGTGTGTGAACTATTTTATATATTTTATATAACATTTCAATTTTGCACATCAACTACTTAAACTAAATTGCTGCATAATTTCGGGACTTGTCAAGTTTTTGGTACTATACAGGAGATTTAAATCGATATAAAACATGCAGAAAAACAATACACACTAGGGGCACATCACTGGTGCATATGATTCATCCGGATAACCAGTCTGAAAATAATATTTGCTTATACTAGGAAGGAAAGCGTGGGAGCTAACATCCAACTATAAGATAGATAAAATGACTGATCAAAAAGGACAAAAACGGAGCATATCATTCATTCCGATAACCAGTCAGAGAATAATATTTGATTTCTATATACTATGAAGGAAAGAACGGAGACTAACATCCAACCTAGAAGATTGAAAGAATGATTAGATCAGAAAGGACAGTGTTGCAGCATATCATTTATTATGATAACTAGTCAAAGAATAAGATTGGGATTATTTGATTTAATTTTGATGGAGAGTTTGATTCTTCGGTTTGATGTGGATTTTTATTGTGCCTGGACGCATTAGGAAAGAGGGTACAAAAACTTATTCTCAAACTAAGAGTTGCACAAAGTCAGGTGATCAGTTTAAGGTAGACGATTCAAGGACTGTCACCTACCTTAAGCTCTGACCCTATTGTCTTAGAGGTTGATCATTAGGCTTTAGGCTTCTATGGGTTCTTCTGCGGTGTGCAACTTTAGGCTTCTAATGCCTTAAGTTGCAGAATAAATTATTCACCTCTTAACATAGAAGTTTTAGTAGTATTAGCTTTCACGAAAGAATAAACATTCTTCGAGGGCTCGTTATGACTCGGTGAAGGCCAGAATAATAACACCATTACTATTCGCTGAAATGCCTGAACATGAATGTGCTAAAGGATTTGTATTGTTCAGAACTTGAGTTAACAAATAGTAATGGGGTTATTATTGTTATGTTAGAAAGAACAATACTGAAGCTCAGGATTTTGCATTTACAACTTTTATTGTCGTGCTTGAAGCCTTACTTGCCATTAGAAGAATTGTTTGAACCTTGTGAAGAACCAAACAACTTTAGAATTGTAGTAGAACAATCTCTGAGCATCGAAACCACAAAATAGGGTCGGATCAATACCATTACTCATGGGACATTGTCAAACACAAGAACAGAACCAACACATAATATGATAAGTTTCTTGTTTTTGAAGGTTTTATTTGTCGTCACTGAGCTAAAAGTTTCTGAAAGCAAGTTTTTTGTACAAAAACTTGATTATGTTAAGCGTGTACTACAGATTTCATGAGCATAGTTTCAATTGACTTGAAATTTTGAGCTGTTGAGGCTTTGTTTGCAGAGGCCCTTTGTGTGTTTGAAACCCACAATATTTGGAAAAAATATTAGGTCAGAAATTCAGATGCATTCGGAATCTAATATTGGGGCGTCACGTATCAAGTGAGGCTCACAAATTCTAACACTAACCAATCTCAGTGTATTGTGGTGGGCTCACTTGACACGTAGCACCTCACCATTAGACACCAGTAGCAATTAGATGTAATATTTTCTCCAATGTTTGCCATTAAATCAAAATAACAAGATATTTCACAAATATATAATAATTATAATTTTTCTCATATACAGAAGCTGTCAAAACTAATACAAGGTACAAAAAAGAATAAAGAATAAAAAATAAAAAATACAATTTATAATTGGACAACAATATTGGACAACAAAATAAGGCCATGTGTTTACTCATTATGCCAAGTCTTTGTAGAGGGTTAGGGAATCACCCTGGTCAACACAGCTCTTGTTTCTCAATCTGTGAAAATAAGAAAAAAAAATTAGCAAACATGCCACACAGTCTTTGCAATCTGTGCATAAAAAATTAGCAAACATGAACTTTTTAGTACCAAACTTTTAAGTGTTATATATGTAAATATAAAAGATTGTGTGGAATGTTTGTAAATGTTCCTTTTTACAAAGAAAATTTGTTGAGCAGATTTGGTCACATGTTGATCTTCACGGTAAGATTGTCCCAAGGGTTCAGAGATGCATCCAAAGTTATCAATATATATGTTTATTTTATAAAAAATGATATGAAAATTTAATTATATTTTTGGCTGCCTAAATCTTTTTTTTTTTAATTTATTTTTATAAAAAGAGAGATATTTCATCTTACAATATACAAAAGAATTTATGGGAACATTCTCTAAACAAATAATAGTAGGGGAAAAACTCCATCAATCTCACAATCAAACCTACAATGTCTAAACGTCGTGCGAAGTTTTAGTTGGTTTTATGATGTTAGAAGGGAACCCCACGAAAGACCTTATCATTCCATACTAGAATGGCAAATTCGCAACCAAACGCAAATTTGACCGAGACAAATAGGATGAAGATGAATGGCATCAAAGGGACGCCCCCGCTCCAAGAAGTTTTGTTCATTGTGAACAAAAATCATTGTGAATTTCATGTTAAAATGTATACCCTTCTTCAATGGTCCTTTACATATCGGAGATTATGTTGATTATATTAAATAATTATAATGCCTAAGAGCTTGATATAATCTTAATATATTAAATAATCAACTATTTACAATAAATATTGGAGGCCTCAAGGATGCAATTCAGGATACACTTGAATTAATCTCAATTTGGTTTCTCTACTAAGCCATGGATTTAGTATATAAAGCGGAGTTATAAATTAATCTTAACGACAACAATAACAAACCTTTATCCCACTAAGTTAGGTCGGCAACATGAATCCTTTTTCTCCATTGCGTCATATTGAATGTCATATTTTCATTTAATTCTAATAAATTAAGTTCATTTTTTATACAATAGGCCTAAGTCTTTCTAGAGCATTCTCATATATAAAAAGTTATGGGACTAAATTGGTCTAATAAATCTAAAACAACTACTCACCTAACTGGATCATCTGATGGTCGAGGATTAATGTGATCAAACCATCTAAGACGACTCTTTCTAATTTTGTCCACCACAGGAGCTACACCAACCCTATCATGAATAGATTCATTTCAAATTTTGTCTCTATGTGTAAAGCCACTCATCCACCAAAGCATTCTCATCTTGGCAACACTTCACTTAATTTTATGCTTCTCTTTTAAAGGCCAACATTTTGCACCATAGAGCATTGCAGGTCTCACCGCCATCATATAAAATTTTCCTTTCAATTTAAGCGATACTATTCTATCACACAAAAGGCCCGAAGCATTCCACTACTTCAACCAACCAACTTGAATTCTACTAACAGCCTCTCCATCTATATCATCATCACTCTGAACAATAGACCCGAGATATCTAAAGCGTTTATTACTTTTAATAATTTGATCACCAATTGTTACAACTCTGTCACTAGAGCTACTACTGATAAAATTACATTCCATATATTCAGTTTTAGTTCTACTCAAATGAAGTCCCTTAGACTCCAAAGTGCACTTCCATAATTCAACTTTTTCCTGAGTTCTGTTTCTAATCTTATCCACAAGAAGGATATCATTAGTGAAAAGCATACACCAAGGCACATCCTGCTGTAGATGTCCAGTAAGAGCATCCATAGCTAAAGCAAAAAGATATGGGCTTAAAGTCGATCCCTGATGTAATCCAACTAAAATAGAAAAATATTCGGTCAATCCTCCTTTTCGAACACAAGTAGCAGCTCTAGTATACGTATCTTTAATGACTTGAATATAAGCCATATCAATATCAACACCTTTTTTTTCTAGAAATCTCGAAAGAATATCTCTTGTAACCTTATCGTAAGCTTTTTGTAAATCAATAAAAAATCATATGTAAATCCTCCTTATTCTCTCTGTACTTCTCCATCAAACCTCTCAATAAATGTATAGCTCCCATAATAGACCTGTCTTAGATTGAAACAAGCCTCAAGTCTTAACAATGATTGAAGACGTAACCAACATGCTTATCATCTATAAATGTATAGCTCCCATAATAGACCTGTCTCAGATGTACAACTCTTGAAAGACCGCGACAATGATTGAAGACGTAACCAACATGCTCCAAAAAGTTCATGCCAAAGTAATAGATTCTAACACCACCTATAAACAGTAGACTGATTTACATATATGATGAAAGATATTCGATCCAAAAGATCTATTCAAGATAAGACTTTACAAGAAATACTTTCCACAAGGTTCTTACTCCAAGTTAAAACCTAAGAAGTTGGACCCTTTTAGTTTCTTAACATATACATTATAGATCTTCCATTGGACATCCTCACTTCATCTACCTTAATTATTTCTAATATATATGCTTATCATCCCCCCAATGATATTCCCTGTAGCTAACTTTACTCAGGGAAAATTTATTCAAAGCAGTGTGACAACTACTTTGTCTTGCAAACTAAGTATACTGCTCGTAACTACTTATCATGCTTCACTTAAATTCTATTATTTTTATAATTTTAACATTAATGGTATACCAATTATATTTTCTACTAGTTAATAAATAATAATATTTTATTATAGAGAATATATAATAAACATATAAGTAAGACGAAACGGGCTTCTTTAACTCTAAATAACAATATTAGAATTTTTTTCTCCTATTTGATCCTTGTCCTTCTTAGCTCCCACACTAGTCGAGAGGAATGTTTCATTTAACAAGAACATTTTAAGATAAATGTTTTAATCTTATGGAAATAATTAACTGCATGTCAAAATTTTAAGAGCTATTTGAATCAAATAAGTTCTAAAACAAAATAGATCAATATCCTCACCAAATTAAACAAGAAAAAAATATGTGCCAACTTAGCGCTCCCATTTTTCCTTCAGAAACTAGATTTTGAGTAGACAAACATATAGTCTTGAAAGAAAAAACAATACCAAATCAGAACTTTGTTACAATAAAAATAAAAAACACATAAAATTCTATGAGTAACATAACTGTATCCATACCTTTCCTTCCTCTTTCTCAAAAATCTAGCCAGAGACTCTTTCCGAGCTTGCGGCACGACTTTGCAAAAGAATGACACACGTTAAAACTATATACAAAAAAATAATAAGATCTACAAAACATCTATAAACAAACTTAGGCTGTGTTTGACATCACTTTTATTTTCTATTTTTGTATTCCTTTTTACTTCTGTTTTTGAAAATATATTTGGTTACTGTAATTCTAACATATTTTTATTTTTTTATAAAAAAAATCACATTATTTTGATAAGCACTCAAAACATCTAACAAATACAACCAAAAATGTTTCAATTAAAACAAATGCATAAATAATACAAAATAAAAATAAAAATAGAAAACAAAAATAAGTGATCCCAAAAGAAGCCTTAAGTCCAGGATGAACTACTCACCTCTGAACATAGAAGTTCCGACTTTATTAGTTTTCACGAAAGAATTAACATTCTTCGAGGGATCATTATCACTCAGTGAAGGCGAAATAATTACCCCATTATTATTCGCTGAAATGCTTGAACACGAATATGCTGAATGATTTGTATCGTTCAGAGCTTGTGTTAAAATTTGACGATTAGTTACCAGCCCTTTGAAAGAAGGTGGTACTGAAGCTCCAGAATTTGTATTTACAACTTTTATCGTTGTGTTTGAAGCCTTACTTGCCATTAGAAGAATTGTTTGGAGCTGGTGAAGAGCCAAATAACTTAAGAGTGAAGTAGAACAATCTCTAAACATCAAAATCACAAAATAGGGCCGAATCAATACCGTTAACAATGGGACATTGTCAAACACATGAACAGAACCAGCATAGAATATGGTAAGTTGTTTGTTTGCCCTACAAAAAATAAATAAAAAAGATAAAATCTTTTTTTGATGCCATAAGAGATACCAAGAATGAAATTTATAGTAAAATTCAATACCTTGGAGTGAAGGTTTTATCTGTGTTTACTGAGCTATAAGGTCCTAAAGCAAGCTTTCTGTACAAAGCTTGATTTCGGTAAGGGTGTGCTGCACATTGCATGACACCATAATCTAAAAATTTCTTAAATAGAAAAAAAAAAATCAAAGTTAGAATATTAATAGAAGCTCAAAATTGAACCGAGAATAAAATATAATATGTAATGAAGAATATGATGACGATCAAACCTGAGAAGCTTGCGCAGAACAAGATTTTTTAGTACATTCAAAGGTATTATCAGAAGGAACATGTTGTAATCTATTTGGGGAAGGTGAATCGCATAAGAATTTGTGGTTAACAAGTTGCATAGTTTCAATTGACATGGAGTTTTGAGTTGCTGAGGCTTTGTTTGCAGTTAAATGGCTGAAAGAAGGAAATAAGCAGAAGTGAGATCTATGACTCTATCTACTTCTACAAAAAGAAATTAAAAAAAAAAAAAACTAATTATGTTAAACATAAAATATTTAAAATGGACTAGAAGTTTGAATAAAATAGTGATATAAAAAGATATTGCTCACAACTATTAAATAGCACAAGAAATTTATCTGTAGGATAAAGCCAAGTGTCATATTATCGTAGGAAAAACATAAGAAAGTTAAGAATAGAGAAAATTTTTAGTAATTCCATATGGTCACAAATTAAAGGCACCATTTAGTCAGAAACGCTTTTGGTGGAGGATTCTTATTTACCTCCCTAACTATTCTTTGGTTTCTTTTTGGGCTTACATAGTTGTAATCCATGCTTGTAAGCTCATCTTTTCAACTAGTGGTGTAACCCCTAGGTTATTTTGTGAGGTTTGTATTTTGGGATTAGTTGGGAACTATCACCTACTTTGTACTTATTTTTGTTAATTAATAAAATTTTATACTTTCCAAAAAAAAAGTTCAAAAATCCTAAACACTAATCCATAATGCCTAAACCAAGAAAAAAAAAACCTTAAACCCTAAACTATAAGTCCTAAACTTAAGAAAACCCTAAATCATAGACCCAAACCAAAAAGCCTACATTCTACCCCTTAACCCTAATTCTTTAAATCTAAACCCTAAAAGGTTAAATTCTGAATCCTAAACCATAAAACTCTAAACAAGTTTCTAAATCATAAATCCTCAACCCTAAATGCTAATCCCTAAACCTTAACCCTAAAAAAGAAACCCTAAACGCTAACCCTAAATTCAAAACGATAAACCCTAAAACATATTAAACTAAACCCTAAACCATTAACCTTTCATACACTAATTGATAAATCATACCCTAAATCCTAAACCCAAAACTTTTATAGCTAAACCATAAATCGTACACCATAAATCCTAAACTTTAAATTCTAAACCCTTAAATGTTAAATCCTAAAGCCACCCACGCTAAAAAAAAAAAAAAACTAACTCAAACCTCTTAACCGTAAACCTAAAATCCTAAACTCTAAACCTTAATCGACAAACCTTAACCATAAATCTTAAACTTTAAAACCATTAAATTTAAACACTAAACCTTAGAAACTAAACCCTAAACCCAAATATTATAAGAACTAAATTGTAAATCCTACTTCACTTTCTTTGAATGATTTTATTCTTGCAGATATTAATCTTTGGAAAAAAAGGTTTGAATGTTATTTCAACATGCCAATGTTGTTCTCAGATTGAAACTACTATTCATGTTTTTTTCTGGATGGTTATATTGCTGGTAAGCTTTTCAGTGCTTCAAGGTATCTATAATGGTTATATGTACATCTATTCTTTGGTTTCTTTGGAAAGAAAGAAACGACTCAAAACACAAAGGCAATAAAATGGGCTTTAATTATATAATATGAAACATTAAAGGTAGAATTTCTGCCCTCTTTAAACCCTTAATCCTAAATCCTGAAACCTTAAACTCTAAACGCAATAGGAAAAAAAAATCATTGTTAGTTTTAAAAGAGAAAATAAAATTATTCATCAAATTCTTGATTGAGATCACTTGAAAGTAAGGAAAAAAAAAACAAAATATTATATTTACATGCTTAATGCTTAAAATATTTAACATCACATCAAATATACCACAATTATTAACTTTCTAAAAGTAAAATATACATTTTAGTGCTTCTACTTGTAGTATACAACAACAACAAATCCTTAATTCCACTACGTGGGGTTATAATTCCACTACGTGGGGTTAGCTACATGAATCCTTTTTCTCCAATGCGTCCTATTTAGTGTCATATTTTCATTAATTCTAATAAATTAAGATCATTTTTTATCAAATAAGCTCAAATCTTCCTAGAACTACCTTTGCCTTTCTTAACATAAGTCGAATCTAAAACATCTACTCTCCTAATCGGATCATCAGCTGGTCGACGTTTAATGTGACCAAACCATCTAAGACGACTTTCTCAAATTTTGTCCATCACAGGAGCTACACCAACCCTATCACGAATATATTCATTTCGCATTTTGTCTCTAAGTGTAAAGCCACTCATCCACCTAATCATTCTCATATCGACAACACTTAACTTATTATTATGCTTCTCTTTTAAAGGCCAACATTCAGCGCCATAGAGCATTGCAGGTGTCACCACTATCTTATAAAAATTTTCTACATTCAAGTATTATTGATATGTTATTGTGTTATTATAACACCGGGAATATTCACAGAATACAATAACACCTGAATAACACGGGGGTAATAATCTCGTGTTATCGGGCCGATTTTTTTTCTGTCACTTCCAGGTGACATGATTTTATTGGACTCCACACGTAACTTTATATGCTCAATACTGATGCAATATTTTTTCCCTAACCATTGAGGAAGGTAACCTCAGGCCCTCTTTTTCGCACCAAGCGTTCGGGATTTAAGGCCGAAATCCGTGAAATCCGAGGCTTTATTCTTGTCCACAGTGACCATGTGGCAACATTTAGGTTAAATCCAGCTCTAAATCCATTACCCCAATTTCAGCACAAAAGCAACGGAAACAAGGGTTTTCTTATTTTGCTTCCCAGAGTTCAATTTACTTTGCAGAAAACAAAGGAAAAAAATAGAAAGATAAGAGACTTTACCTGTATCTAGGTGATTCGCTGGAGCTTTCCGTCGCCGCTGTACCGGAGTGGTGCTCGCCCATTCGAAAGATTATCTCTCCGAAGATGAAACCCTTAAATAATGCGACATTATAACCTAAAAAAACTAATTCTAACTGCCATGGGACTTCTCCCATCCTCCCCCTTCCATTTCCCTCTCTTTACGCCGCGTTCCGTCTTTCTTGCAGAGAGAGACGTGGGCTTTCGCGAATTTCCCTCTCCCGCGTTCCGTCTTTATTGCACGCGGGCTTTCGCGAATGTTTTTAGAGAGAAATGCGGGCAGTGTTACAGAAATTAATAATTAATTTCCTTTTTTTTTATTTTTTTTTAAGGGGATTTAAAAATTCGATAAAAAGACATGTGTCATGTGACACGCATTGTCTATATCTATATATCATCTATCTTCTTAAAATATTTCTTAAAAAAGTAAGTCATTCTAATTTTAGTGGTGAAAAGTTTTATTTTTCAACTGCAAAAATAATTAAAAAATTTTTATTTTTAAATATATAATTGTCATTTAAATGGTTATTATCACAACATCTATTAATGGGAAGAAACGGTTTCTACATATTTAATAATAATGCTCAGTAGGCTCCTCAAATTAGAATGTTTTTAAATCACGTGTGGTTATAACAATAGTAAATTATGAGTAGATGTTCTATTCTAGAAGGAATTTATATAAGAATAATATAAACTCCTATAATTTGAAGCGATTAAGCGTAGCTCAGGTGATAGGGGTTTTGTTCTTCATGTGGCGGGTGGCGGGTTCATTCACTACACAGGACAAAAAATTAAAACTTTTTTTTATTGCGAGCCCGAAGCTAGGAAGAGAAGGGGGGTCGTATGGGACGGACCTACGGGCCAAAGCAGGGAAGACAGAAGAGGAAGACAGAAGGAGGTGAAGTCCCAAACGAGCACGGGAGCCTAAGCAGCGAGGTTTAAGAATTTGAACCGTCGAATTTGAATCAGATTTAGTCGAAAAAGAGGAATTTGAACAGATTTTGGGAGCATAAATGATGAAATATGAGCGGTTTTTTTTTATTATTATTTTAATGAGTTGTTTTTTTATGAGTTACTGCCATTTTTTTTTAGCGGTTGTTTATTTTAATAAGCTGTTGTTTTTTATTTTATTTTATATTTTGTGTGTGTGTGTGTTACAAGGAATGGTCGGAGGTTATTATACGAGCCCGGGTCATTCCTCGAAGAATTTGAGTAGCATACTCTACACTCGAGGGGGAATCGAAGCCCAGATCAGAAGGGAACTTACAACTGACAAGATATATATATATATATATATTACAAAGTTGGTTTGAAAGATAATTTAAGTGTATTTAATTTGTAATAATTAAACAAGAGATTATGAAGAATTTATTCTCTTTTATCACCAGAAATAGTATTTTTATTATTTTTAATTTGGAATGAAGTAGACTAAAGGTCATGAGACGGAATGTCAAAAGCCGGAAGGTAGAAGAACGTGAATTAATGCACATTTTAAATTTTTTTTAATTAGTTTGTTAATGAAATGAATTAATTTTTAGCCATAAATATTATATGTCAGGTAACATAAGAGAATATTTCTCCCGTGTTATTCATATGTTATTGTGTTATTGTGTGTTATTCAAATAGTGTGTTATTCAAATATTATTGTGTGTTATTCAATTATTATTGATATGTTATTGTGTTATTATAACACCGAGAATATTCACAGAATACAATAATACCTGAATACCATACAATAACACATGAATAACATGGGGGTAATATTCTCGAGTTATCGGACCGATTTTTTATTTCTGCACTTCCAGGTGGCATGATTTCATTGGATTCCACACGTAACTCTACATACTCAATACCGATGCAATATTTTTTCCCTAACCATTGAGGAAGGTAACCTCTGGCCCTCTTTTTCGCACCAAGCATTCGAGATTTAAGGCCGTAATCTGTGAAATCCGAGGCTTTATTCTTGTCCACAATGACCATGTGGCAACATTTAGGTTAAATCCAGCTCTAAATCCATTACCCCAATTTCAGCACAAAAGCAACGGAAACAATGGCTTTCTTATTTTGCTTCCCAGAGTTCAATTTACTTTGCAGAAAACAAAGGAAAAAATTAGAAAGATAAGAGACTTTACCTGTATCTAGGTGATTCGTTGGAGCTTTCCGTCGCCGCTGTACCGGAGTGGTGCTCGCCCATTCGAAAGATTATTTCTCCCCATTGTCGAAAGATGAAACCCTTAAATGAATGCGATATTATAACCTAAAAAAACCAATTCTAACTGTCATGGGACTTCTCCCATCCTCCCCCTTCCATTTCCCTCTCTTTACGTTATGTTCCGTCTTTCTTGCAGAGAGAGACGCGTGCTTCGCAAATGTCTTTAGAGAGAAATGCGAGCAGTGTTCTGCAGTTTCTTTGCTCACAGAAATTAATAATTAATTTCTTTTTTTTTTATTTTTTTAAGGGGATTTAAAAATTTGATAAAATACATGTGAGTCATGTGACACGTATTGCCCATATCTCTGTATCATCTATCTTATTGAAATATTTTTTAAAAAAGTAAGCCATTCTAATTTTAGCGGTGGAAAGTTTTATTTTTCAACTGCAAAAATAATTAAAAAAAATTTATTTTTAAATATATAATTGTCATTTAAATAGTTATTATCACAACATCTATTAATAGGAAGGAACAGTTTCTAAAAATTCAATAATAATGCTCAGTAGACTCCTTGGCTCCTCAAATTAGAATGTTTTTAAATCACGTGTGGTTATAACAATAGTAAATTATGAGTAGATGTTATATTCTAGTAGGAATTTATATAAGAATAATATAAACTCCTATAATTTGAAGCGATTAAGCGTAGCTCAGTTGATAGGGGTTTTGTTCTTCATGTGGCGGGTGGCGGGTTCATTCCCTACGCAGGACAAAAAATTAAAACATTTTTTACTGCGAGCCCGAAGCTAGGAAGGGAAGGCGGTCGTATGGGACGGACCGACGGGCCAAAGTAGGGAAGACAGAAGGAGGTGAAGTCCCAAACGAGCACGGGAGCCTAAGCAGCGAGGTTTAAGAATTTGAACCGCCGAATTTGAATCAGATTTAGTCGAAAAAGAGGAATTTGAGCATATTTTGGGAGCATAAATGATGAAATATGAGCTTTTTTTTAATTTTAATGAGTTGTTTTTCTTAATGAGTTGCTGCCCTTTTTCTTTTCTTTTTTTTTAGCCGTTGTTTATTTTAATAAGTTGTTGTTTTTTATTTTATTTTATATTGTGTGTGTGTGTGTTTTACAAGGAATGGTCGGAGGTTATTAAACGAGCTCAGGTCATTCCTCATGCGTCTAAGAATTTGAGTGGCATACTCAACATTCGGGGGGAATCGAAGCCCAGATCAGAAGGGAATTTACAACTGACAAAGTTTGTTTGAAAAATAATTTAAGTGTATTTAATTTGTAATAATTAAACAAAAGATTATGAAGAATTTATTCTCTTTTAATACCTGAAATAGTATTTTTATTATTTTTAATTTGGAATGAAGTGGACAGAAGGTTATGAGACCGAATGTCAAAAGCCGGAAGGTAGAAGGACGTGAATTAATGCACATTTTAAATTTTTTTAAATTAGTATGTTAATGAAATGCATTAATTTTTATCCATAAATATTATATGCTCAGTTACATAAGAGAATATTTATCTCGTTAAATCTGTCTCGTAACACAAGAGAAGTGTTATTGTGTGTTATTCAAATGTTATTGTGTATTATTCAAATATTATTGATATGTTATTGTGTTATTATAACATTAGAAATATTCACAGAATACAATAACACCTGAATAACATACAATAACACCTGAATAACGCGGGGGTAATATTCTCGTGTTATCAGACCAATTTTTTTCTGTCACTTCCAGGTGACATGATTTCATTGGGCTCCACACGTAACTTTACATGCTCAATATTGATCCAATATTTTTTCCCTAACCATTGAGGAAGGTAACCTCAGGCCCTCTTTTTCGCACCAAGCGTTCAGGATTTAAGGACGAAATCTGTGAAATCTGAGGCTTTATTCTTGTCCACAATGACCATGTGGCAACATTTAGGTTAAATCCAGCTCTAAATCCATTACCCCAATTTCAGCACAAAAGCCACGGAAACATGGGTTTTCTTATTTCGTTTCCCAGAGTTCAATTTACTTTGCAGAAAACAAAGGAAAAAAATAGAAAGATAAGAGACTTTACCTGTATCTAGGTGATTTGCTGGAGCTTTCCGTCGCTGTATTGGAGTGGTGCTCGCCCATTCGAAAGATTATCTCTCCTCATTGTCGGAAGATGAAACCCTTAAATGAATGCGACATTATAACCTAAAAAAACCAATTCTAACTGCCAAGGGACTTCTGCCATCCTCCCCCTTCCATTTCCCTCTCTTTACGCCGCGTTCCATCTTTCTTGTAGAGAGAGAAGCGGGCTTCACGAATGTCTTTAGAGAGAAATGCGGGCAATGTTCTGCAGTTTCTGTGCTCACATAAATTAATAATTAATTTCATTTTTTTTATTTTTTTAAGGGGATTTAAAAATTCAATAAAAGACATGTGAGTCATGTGACACGTATTGCCCATATCTCTACATCATCTATCTTGTTGAAATATTTCTTAAAAAAGTAAGTTATTCTAATTTTAGTGGTGGAAAGTTTTAGTTTTCAACTGCAAAAATAATTAAAAAAAATTATTTTTAAATATATAATTGTCATTTAAATGATTATTATCACAACATCTATTAATGAGAAGGAACAATATCTAAAAATTCAATAATAATGCTCAGTAGACTCCTCAAATTAGAATGTTATTAAATCACGTGTGGTTATAAAGTAGATGTTATATTCTAGTAAGAATTTATATAAGAATAATATAAACTCCTATAATTTGAAGCGATTAAGCGTAGCTCAGTTGATAGGGGTTTTGTTCTTCATGTGGCGGGTGGCAGGTTCATTCCACACAGGACAAAAAAATTAAAACTTTTTTTACTGCTAGCCCGAAGCTTGGAAGGGAAGGCGGGTCGTATGGGACAGACCGACGGGCCAAAACAGGGAAGACAGAAGGAGGTGAAGTCCCAAACGAGCACGGGAGCCTAAGCAACGAGATTTAAGAATTTGAACCGCCGAATTTGAATCAGATTTAGTCGAAAAAGAGGAATTTGAACAGATTTTGGGAGCCTAAATGATGAAATATGAGCGGTTTTTTTTATTTTAATGAGTTGTTTTT